TCTCGGTGCCCCTGAGGCCGGGACTGGTGGAAAACGGCCTTTTTGGGAACCCAGAGCCCTCTGCACATCCCCGACTCGGGAGTTTTAAGAAAAGGAGGGATTTAGAGCTTGTGCAGGCGTATTCAGGGGTTAGGGCAATGGAAATGCCTTAAAGCGATGCACGCTGAAAGCTGGAAATGCTGCTCGCTATTACATCCTTCTTGGCAGCTCAATATCCAACCTAAAGAGCTGGGGAAGAGAAAAGAATACTAAGAACTAGTGTTTCTCAGTTTTACTGTTACTGTAAATGACCAGGTTTCTGATCAAGCTTGGAAGAGTTGGAAACACTGCATATGTATTTATATGTAGTCCTTACAGTGGGATCCGCTGTAAAGCCCAACCTTGATTCTGCCTTGTTTCCTTCACAGGAGAGAAGGAGGCATGTCCTGAGCTAAGGATTTTCCTATCAACGTGTCACCCTGTGCCCGCAAAAGTCCCCAGTTTCTCTTTTCTTGCCTCTTTTATCTGAGCCGGGTTAGCGAAGATTTAGTGTTGAAAGAAACTGCTGCAGGTAACTGCTGATTTGGCCTGAAAGGAGCAGAGCAGAGTGGGAAGGGGCCACCGCTGGCAAGTTCGAGAGTTCTCCAGGCAGAAAGGCCTATCCTGTGCTGCAGACAGCATCTCCCCTGGGATTAAGGAGCGAGCAAGAGAACTCGGAGGAAGCAGAAAGTGGCTTGGGAAGGGAGAAAAAACCCCTTAAGCGGCTCTCTGGCACCTGCAGCCACCCTTCGTGCTCGGGGTTTTGAGCCAGCAGCGGTGCACACGTGCAAGAGGAGAGCAGCCCCTCACAGAGCTCATAGCACCCCCAGGGGAGACGTGTCCCCTTGTCTCCTTGGCAGGGACTCCAGCGCTGCTCCTCTGGGGAAGCGACACGGAATTTTCGCTGCTATCAGATGCTCGGGGCACATGTTGCTGAGCTGCCTGCCATGCCCTCTCTCCTGCAGTCAGCGTGGTCAAAAGTTTCCCAGGATTAAAGAGCAAAGTGGCTTTCTTCTGCTCGTGGAAATGCTGCTCTTCAGCCAGCTGAAGATCTCACATGTGAACGTTTGCTCCCACTGGCTCCTCTCATTTGGCACAGGTATCATCTTCCTCCAGGCAGGATCTTTGCAGGGTTTGTATAAACATGGGGCACTTTCTGTCTCAGCGTTGTGCGAGAGCGTGACAAGAAGAAGCATCTTTTAGAGCCTGGGACAGATCCTGGCTTCTCCGAAGGGTGCAGTGCTGCTTACAGAGCGCTACCGCAGACCCCAGGCTGCCTCGTGGCAGGGGCTGCTCTGGCTGAAGCTGTGGGGTGGGTCTGGACCTGCCTCCCTACCCAAGAGGAGAGCAGCCAGGACAAGCCCTGCGACCAGGGAGCACGTACACACACGTATGAAATGCTAGCACGGTGACATCATTTTCTACCCAGGCTTTAAGCCGCTTTCTCTCACCTGGCTTGGGCTGCTCAAAGTATTTCAGTGTGCAGCTCCCTCAGAGGGTTTCCTGATGGCTCCCTCCGAGCTGCGGAGCTGCCTCTGCTGTTAGTGAACGTTAGGGAGAGGAGGCCCCGACACTGCCAAGCCCCAGCAAGGAAACAAAGCAACAGAGCCCGGTGCCTGCAGGAGAAACGGCTCCCCGGCACAGCAGCATCAGCCTCCGTCTGGGGTCTCCCTTGGACCAGGGGGTGGTTGTTGAGGCTTCATGTGGCTCCTTCCCCAGCACGTTCATGGACACTTGGGCATGGCTACGCTTAAAGGAGGGATGCGGACAGCGTTAACAGCACAGGCAGGGCCTGGAGCTGCTTCCAGCAGCAGTGCGGACGCTCTAGAGGGTGCAGGGGACACCCGGCAGGGCCACAGGGACTGGGCGCTGGGACCAGGCTCTGGAGCACGGTCCTAAACACTAGCGCAATCTCCTCTGGCATGAGACCAAAAGCTGGGGTGAGCGGAGGCTGCGAAGCGCCAGGCCGTACTCTGCGCTCTGAACCCGCAGTCTAATCTCAGGGCTAAGTCTAGGACACAAAACAAAATGTGCCATTTAATCTTTCTGGATTAAATGCGGTGGATTTAATGAGCTGTAACTGACTCCTACTAAAATCTGCAACACGTGCTAGCAAAACGATGGCTAATCTTTCGCCAAGCCCCTTCCTATGTGGCCTAGCAGCACCGTGGCCTTGGACAACTGATGATGAAGCAGGGTTCCACCACGGCTGGGTGCCCATGTGACACTATCATTTTAAGACACAATCATTTGAACTCTGCTTGAAGAGTGCACGAAGGACAGCTTAAAGTCTCTGGAGAGGTGTTTGGGAAAAACCCCGCAGCGTTGTATCACAGAGGAGCTGTGTTAAGGCAACACACCGCCCTGGCTCCGATGAGCGGTGGCGGCCACAGCCGAGCCCCCTGCCTCGGCTTTGCAGCATTTGGGCGTCGAGCAACTCGCTGCGAGAACCAGGGCAACCCGGCCCCTGCATTTCCACCCACGCCCTCAGCCCTGGGACATCTCCCACCCAGAAAAGCGCCCGCCTGATCCTCCAGACCTCGAGGGAGCAGCCTCAGGCACCTGCTGGGGCTTGGGCGCCCCGGGCCAAGCTGCTTTTGCAAATTCCCTGCTCCCAGCTCAATAACCGTCCGCGAGCCGGGAGGCAGCGGGTTCTGCAGCAGCCTGAGCTCCGGAGTGCAGCTTGCAAACGGCCTTGGCCTTAAAAAAAGAACGGTTCAAAGGGCAAGGGGAGGAAATGCATTCAACCCCAAACGCTCTCAGCAGCAGGGCAAACAGCAACATGAGGTTGCCGCACCTCCCCGAGGGGGGCGGCCGCGTGCGCAGCCTCTGCAGCTGTGTGCGAGCCAGAGTGTCGAGCGCAGGGCCCCAGGCAGGAGAGCTGCTCACTGCGCAGGGCTGCAGGACACCACAAGAAATTCCGGACAAACCTGGCTCTGTTCCTGCTTTCCCCCAGGCTCTTGCAAAATCCATGGCCAAAATGAAGGAGCGCACCGATAAAGTGACAAAGAATAAAAAATAAAATGACAAGGAGCAAGGGGAAAGCAGTGCGGGAGGCAGGGGCAGCTGGCCCTTGAGAGCGCTGCTCCTCCTAAGCCAGCCCTGAATCATCGGGGCTGTACGTAGGCTTGGAGGCACCCCAGCTTCCACAGGGAAGGGGCATGAATCCGCCTGCCGGGCTTCGTGGATTCCATCGCTTACACAAGCAGGATCAGATCCAGGTTTCTGGGCTAGCTGTTGCGTAACCCTGTTCTCAGGAGAGGGCTGGTGGCAGTGCCTGGAAGAGGAGGGACACGGCTGGGCCTTCTCCTACGCGGAGGGCCTGCAGCTGGGCCGAGGCCGGAGCAGCTGCCGCGCAGCCCTGCGCTGACCCCTTGTCCTCCACCCTGTGCAAAGGGTGCAGCTATCTTACACTGAGTCCAAAGCTGCCTCCATAACAGCAACACGGGGAAAAGCCCCACGTGACAGCAAGGGCCTGCCTGCCAGCTGTGCCAGCCAACAGCCAAGAGGCTGTGCAGCTCCGCAGGCCCTGGCATGGATGCTCACACTGGTCGCTACTCCCCTTGATAAGAGCAGGCGTCTACCAAGCTTTGGGGACAAGGGTGGCAACGTCCTTGAGCTATGACTGAAAGCAGGAGCTCGCCAGAGCTTTGCTGAACACCCATCTCTGTGGCCTAGAGCGGGAGCCAGCCCAACACAGGGCTCTGGGATTTGGGAACGCAGGCACCTGGACGAGGAGCACAGGCTTGTGCAGTGGCTCATGTCTCTTCATGGAGGAAAGTGTGGCCTTCAGCCTCCTTGGAGAGTTTGTTTTTACTATCAGGAGGAAGACGTCGCTGAAGAGCTGGGTTGGAGGTGTCATTCTGCAAGGCTGTGAGATGAATCAACAGCAGAGTCCTCACTTGAAATCTTGTGCTTGGTTCATGTTGCTCCACGTCAAGAGAGGACAAGAAACCGAAGTCAGAGAGGCATGAGGATTATTAAAAGACATCCCTTCCTTTGCCTGCACAGCAGGAAAAAGATGAAAAGCCTCCACAGAATTATTAAGGAGAACGGACATATTTTAATATAGCTCAATTATTCCAGTTTCAGTCCTACCTTCAAAAATCAGAGCTTGTTTTTAAATTTAAAATGCTCCCAGAGGACAGTGAAACGAGAAGTGAAAACTCGGTGTGGGAAATTCACACCCTAAACTTGTACAGAAACTTGATTTAACCATATTTCAGACAGAAGCCATGAAATAACTTAAAAAAAATGAAGAAGGATTATGCAGGCCAGAGTCTTTCCCAGACACTCCTCTGAAACCTTTGGGCAGAGTGCTTATCTAAAGTCACTGACATAATCTGATTTGGCAATTCCAGTGCTGTGGTTAACAGAAGAAAAAATAGAAGAGTAATCTCCATTGCATGCAAATAATCCCTTCGCTGGTGCAACACACAGGCTGCAAGTTTACACTGAGAGGATGGAGAAAGCATCAGGTAACGCAGCCTGTGTGCCCAAAACAGCCAAATCTGGCAGGACCAAAATAACAGCAAATTAGACCCACAGAGAGGAAAGTTCTGGTGAGCAAGCACAGCAACTAATCACTCCTAGGATTCTGGAGTACTGTGTGTTTGCATTCGAGTGAAATGAACACTTGTTGCTTAAAGGAGGGGGAGACCACAAATAGAAACGGTGACAAGAAGAAGAAAGCGACTGAAGTCACAGCTTATATCCTATTGAATAATTATATACCACATCCTGCAGCAGCTGCTAACCTCAGCTGCCACCGCACCGCCAGCCCCTTCGAGTGCTGCTTCTAGCTCCTGCTGTGCTACTCCTGCCAGGACAAGCTTGTCCTTTACAAGCTTGGGCAAAGGGGAGAGTGGAAAACCTGTGTGAAGCTCTAGTATTGTGAGACACTGAAAAGGGGAGAGTGGAAAACCTGTGTGAAGGTGAAGCTTTAGTATTGTGAGACACTGAGAGGTTTGGCATGAGCCAGATACCGAAGCTTTTTAAACACAAGGAAAGGGGCTGAGGCACAGCTGCAGGAGGACAGCAAGAATTGCTTAGCTCAGGCTTCCTTGGGGAATAAAAATCAACTTTTTTTTCCACATCTTAGTCTTCTCCCAGAGCTCTCTTTATTGATAACGGTATGCACAGGTAGGCTGGGATAATTTAAAATATGTGGTCTGAACAGTTAAGAAGAAAAAATGACCCAAGAGCTAGAGGAAACGAAGGAAGGGAGGATCGCACATCTTCGGAGACGGGGCAGTCTGTAGGTGAGACCCGCCACCCGAGGCCACGTCCCCTGGCTGCAGTCCAACGTGCACCGTTCGGGGGGCTCCACATTCACGGGTTTGTTTTCCAGAGGCTCCCGGACACCTGGATTTGGCAGTACATGCAGTGCGGAGAGCAGAGGCTGCGGTGCCAACGCGCCACCAGACACGGGCACCGGCGGCCACCGCGCAGCGAGCGGCACTGCAGGGCCATCACGTTGCTTTTTGGATTCTGGACCCATAAAAGCACAAGGCTTTGAACGTCAGCGCAGTTTGCACCTGGTTTAAGGTCAAAACCAGAACAATGGTATTTTCCACTTCAGGAACTCTTTGCAGGGAGCTGCGCCCATATCTAGCGCTCTGTTTACCCGTGCCTTCCCACATGCTACTTCTGCCCGAACTGGGCCAAAGTAAACAAGATTTTAGAGATTAATGGCAGCCCTGTAAGTGGCAGAAAACAAAACAACGGGCTTTGTGGATATAAATAACCAGAGTGGCTAAAAAACCCCAAGCAGCTCCAGATGCGAGAATACACCATCTTATTTTGCAGATGCAAAAAATCCAGAAGATTTTTAAACACATTCCAGAGATGAAAAATATTTGAACAGGTGTGTGTGTTCCCAGACTCAGGTGTATTATTTAACAAAAGAGACCGAGCGTCCCCTTCTGAGCCACTGTAAGATCCCAACAAGTTCAAGCTCTATTTGTAAGAAAACACACAGCAGGAAAAGGAGCAAGTTGCATTTAATTACAACAAGGAGGGTTTCAGGCAGTTACAAGCCAGCCTACCCCAAACATTATCCCCTACTGAAAGACAGACTTGGTGACACCACATGAAAACTGCATCATTCCTTTTACACAGCAAAACACCCAAACATTCCCTAAAATGTTTCTTTTATATCCTTTCTCATATCACCCTAGCAACACATTCTACCTACCAAACTGTGGTGGTTTAGAAAGTGAAAAAGCAATAGCTCTCCCCACTTCTTCCTCATATAAGGGAAAATAAATAGAAACAAAGATTAGGGTATAATGAAAGAAGATGAAAAGATCTCCACTTCAATATATTATTTATCTCCAATGAAAAGTGGTCAATTGGGGGGAGGGGGGAAGCTTTCTTAAAAATAAAAAATAAAACCCCACTGTCATGACTATATTACAATGTGAACTGCTCGTGCGCAGGAATTCTGCATAGCAATGTTGACTAATTTGAGCGTATGGCTTATGCAAAAGGGACAGAAAAATTGCATCAAGAGACCTTAGTGCTTTCATTTTCACTAAAAAATGTTCCAAGTGGTCGGCTGTCAGCACAGGCTTCACACCCCTTGGAGCAGCTCTCACCTGCCCTACTTATTTTGGCTCCATTGCAGTGAGCAGGGTTACAGACGAGTGCAGCCCGTGATCGTGGGAGGAGACCACCAGCCTAATTCCTCCCTGCATGTAAGCCCAGGGGAACATACGTTCTTTTTGCAGCAAAATACTAACAAGCAATTGTTCCCATTCTCAGCTTTCTCTGGAACACATCAGGAACGTGGCTGTTTTAAGAAGAGAGAAGTACGAACCGTCTCGCAGCCTCCTCTCCTCCGCACGTGGTGCAGGCTATTCTCATTTTGAGAACAGGGACCTCCGGTTGATAGAAATCCTCTCGGATATGCCCAGAACTAGCCTGTCCCGTCTGATCTGAGCAGCCACAGGAAAGCTGCCATTCACCAGGACACCTTAGACACCGAGGGCTGTGATCCACAGAGGATATGGAAACATTAAAGTGCTTTTCTATAAAAACCTGAATGTTTTAGGGTCACTCTTCCTACATCCCGAACAGGACCAGCAAGTAACATGACTGTTTTTAATATTCAACTACAAAATTTCTGACTTCTTGAATTACATTAATACTAGTAACAATGCAAGCTATGACAAGAGAAACACGTTTCCACAGAACATTCAAGCTGATAAAAGAAATGAATCATTGGGAGAAGACCTTTTTACAGTTAAAATGGTGGCAGCAGAGGACATTTCATGAGTAGTCAGCCTTTCCTTTGGCAAGTGGCAAGGTAGGGCATGTAGCCTTCTAGACTGGAGCTCTTCGGAAGGGACTTCCAAGGCAGAGCCAGCAAGGCTGAAAGAAAGTGCCCCTAAAAAGCAAGCCTGCCATTAACACCTGGAACTGGATGCAGAAGGCAACACGAAACAAGGGCTGCCAAGCAACGTGCGGCGGCTCCCGGGACAGACCTGTTAGTAGCATGCTTTGAACTTCAGAAATACTCGTTACCAGTGAGCAAAAAGGGGGACGAAGCTGAATCATTGCTGACTGGAAAACCTGAAAGGCAGATGACTCATTTGCCCATGTCTGATCAGGTGTTTCTACCTTGAAATTAAAAGGGGAGAAAGTCTAGTCTGTATTTAAAGTTGTGTGCAATACCCACACTCTGCAAACAGGCTGCAACATACTCCCTTCAAAGGCAAGCTTACCTGCATGAATAATCCTGCACTTGAAGACAGGAACAAAGAAAACACAGGATAAAAATGCAAGATAAAATGGCCCAAAAAAGTAGTTTTTCTTTGATCACTAAAAGCAGAACTTGGGGAAAAAAAAAAAAAGACGCACTGAACACTTTTGTTGCCTATTCAGAAAGGGGAAGAAATATGGAAAACTGCTTCCAAACTTTCATGCCTGTATTCCCATTTCCCATTTGGGCCTGTGTAAGACAGCAGTAACTCCAGTTCTGTAACAGAGAATTGAGGGACAAAACAAAGCACCTTCCCCCAGATAAAATATTTCTCATTTAGTTGCGTTATACGACATTAGTGAGAATCATATTAGCCAAATCCCACCTGTATTAGGGTGAGAGGCACACCAAGTCTGTTCACCCTTTGCATCCTTTTATCATAACAGCAGAATAAAACCAGGCAAAAGGAAACAAAACACAGATCCCAACGTGAAGTGCACATCAAATCAACAGTCCAGCTATGGGAGAGTATGGTGGGGCTCGCACCACTTCCTTTAACTATTTTTACCAGGTTTGTTCTGTTGCAATCAATTCTCTGTTCTTGCATACCCAACTTTTAACATTTAGTAAGTCACAAATATTTTAAAAGAGGATATGATAAACCCCAAGATTTAGGTTTAAGTTATGGAAAATCAGGATGAACACACTGAAACAGGCTTCCAATTTTAATTTCAAAAAGGCCCCTATGGTGGGACTAGCTATAGATGGCATCATGCTAATGCAAATGGAATTTAAAAAAACAAAACAAAACCACTTGAAATAAGTATGAATTCACACTATACACGTGTACATACTTATTTTTTCTACCTTAGCTTTGTTTGAAATATAAATCATCTATACTAAAAATTCAGTATGTGCAACATTAACCTGATTCAAGCATTTTATAAATACAAGCATTTTTAGTATTTATTGCAGCATACTTCACTACTTAACTTACTGAAAAACAAGTTGTACATTTAAAATTCTTATGTACTATCAGCCAATTAAAACTACAAATGGAAAAATACTTGCTAATCTTCAACATCAAAAAGGCAAATAAATTTCATTTTTTGAAGAAAACTATTGACATTTTAGGGTCTGAATGGTACACTATGTTATTGGTCTTTCTTTAGACTTTTGAAGATACTACATTAATGAAATGCAAGTAGTTACCTTACAACATGTACTTCTCAGAGGCAAAGAGAAAAAAAATCTGTTTTATATTTATGAAGGAACATCCATTTATTATAAAACAAGATAAGATATTAGAATTAAGTTGAAACAAGGCAACATTAGAGCAACCACTTTAGAGCTTTGTGAATGAAGTGTAGTTTGAGACTTGCAAATTGAGGCAAACATAGCTCTTAACATGCTGTCCTCTTCTCTATAAATGGGATGAAGTAGAGAAGCAAAGCTTCAAGGTGTAAGGGTTAGAGCCATCTGTCAGGAGACAAAGAACATGCTCAGTAAAATGCACTCTGTGACACTCTTGTTGATCAAGGCATCTTGCACACTGCCTTTTTATGCATGTTTTAATAGTCACTTAATTGTCTTTTAATAGTCATAGTATTTTTTTTATTAATGCAGAGAAACAAAGGGATGCATTTCATCACAAGGCAATGAGGATGGCACTTCAGTTGTTGGGCTATACACAATAAAAGGACGTCCCACCATTGCTATTGCCCCTTGTCCCTTCTAAATGACCTAGATGATCTGGCAATGGCAAAAGGGCACAGATAAGGAAGTGTTCCTTGTTTTGACATATAAGGAAGTGTTCCTTGTTTTGACATATCCTTGCACTTGATTCTACATGGCTGTATGGCTTTTTTTTCATGTTGAAAACTTAAGAGATTCTTCTACCCAGAGGTATTTCAGATTTTTCTGCAACCATTGTGAGAGGTTTTATAAAGCTTGATTAATTCGTTATATATTAGATCTGATTTTGAAGACAGTGGATTTTTAAGCAATGCTTTTCCTTCCTTCTTTGAAGACAGGGAAAGGGAGAAAAATCCACAGTCTCAGAACATATTGGATTTTTACAGGTTGACTCTAAAGTGAGGAAAATTCTCATTTAGGTTGATCCTAGTGGACCCTAAAAGATTACATAGTATACTATACGCATAAAAAATATATATATACATATATATACACACACATGCACATAAAGTAAATAAAACACCTTTTAGCTGCAGAGATGGAGCTACTGAAGCCTCATGTTTTAAAGCAAAGACAATACCGAAAAAAAAAGAAAAGAAAAAAATGATTGTTTTTAAAAGAAATCATAAATAAATAAAACAAGCAAGACTGACTTACTTGGTACTCTTATCTGGTAGTGATTAAGTACAGTGAGGGCTTCCACTGCATCTGTCTTACATTCCCATTCCAACAGACCAGAAAGTGTTTTGGCAGAAGCTGTCAGTGAGAAGAAAAAAAAAAGAAAATAACAAAAAGAGGAGAAAGGGCATCAGTAAGCTCTTTTGCCAGTGCTAGCTGGCTCAAAGAACACCTCAAATAGGTCAGGTTTACTTACGTTTTGGATCGAACACTTTGTATTTAATAAAGCTGAGAACTTCGTGATCCTCACACAACTGCCACAAAAATAAAATAAATAGTAAAACTCCAATAAAAATGCACGCGGATACTATTTGCAAAGATGCCAACATTTCCTAGAAGAGACACAAAAGGAAACCCTGGCTCCTTAAAGAGTGTTTCTATGAACTTATAGCAGTCAGTAAAGAAACAACCTCACAGAGCCAGTAAGTCTCTCGTGGACTGTAGTCCTGCTCTTGTTCTACAGGAGTTTTTTCCCCCGCACACAAAGCACATGAACAAATCACTGATTTTATTTTGGGGGACATAAAGTAGGGAGAACAGTTGTTTCAATCGCTTACCTTTACAAAGGTTTCTTCAGTAACACACAGCGGTACATTGTAATAATGCAGCACACAGGAGGGTGGCTGGATGATGTTCTTAGATGCTTGGCCAGCACTGGTGAAGCGATTGTTCTTACTCATTGCAAAATCCTTGTAACTACTTGTGCCATCCTCCAGTTCAAATATCTGGCTTGGAACTACTGAATGCTGCTTGGAAACACTGGGATTTAAGGAGATACAGTTAAAGTTTCTTAAACAGTGAAGACTTGCATATTTTGCCCATAAAGTATCGATGGATTTGGAACAGAGCTGACATTTCTTTTCAACAACTTGAAATAAAGGGAGAACAAGATGACCTGGATTTGGTATCTTCCTTAAAAGCCACAGAAAGTGTGATAAACTACATTCGGTAACATGTCTTAATAGGCAAGCTAGATGATGCCTATATACATTATTAATGTAAGTTTTTACTTATACAGTACAAATAATAGTTGCAAATAGGAAATCGTGATTGTAACAGTGATGACAAAGCAATGGGATATGTTCCTTCTGCAACCTCGACTATTAATGTAATAAACAGAGTATTTACCAGACATTAAGCCTCTTTCCAAATAATTTGACATTGTTGAGATGCGTGACAGCTCTTTCTACAGCATACTCATCGCCCATTTCAACCAGTGCTGTGCCTGGAATAGTCTTCATAAATTTCACCTGAGGCAGATGAGGAAAAAGTGACAATGCAATGAACAGCACTCGTAAGAATTTTACCTCATCTCAACCATATCCTTTCCAAAACAACTAGATTATAGCAGCCTCTAAACTTCTTATAAAGGATGTCTCACCTTCTCTATGTTTCCGTACAAGCAGAACAGGTTGAAGACCCTTGAGCAGTTCATCTTTAGCTGATGCAACCCACTGACCATGACAACCGAGCCAGAAGGATTCCCACCGTGCATGTACGAGGACGATGCCTGGGGCAACGGATAAGCAACAAGCTCTGGAGTGTCACGAGATCCCATTCGGTACCGGCTCGGGAGGGGCAATAAAGGACCGTGCGACCCTAAGGGGATTAAAGAGCATGTTTTCATGTTACTTGAAACACAAGTTTCACTACTTTATCATGCACTGAAGCCCACATATATAATGCATAATTAAAGCAGACAACAACAAAAACGAAGTTAGAGCAGAGCTGTTAACTCTTTCTAGTTGCAATAAACACGACCTTGTCTATTCCATTTAATATTTTGAGTCTTATATTACAATGTAAGGAGGAAGATGTTTCATAGTATTGTTTTACATGAGACAAAAAAAGGCATTTCACTAAGCATTTTGATGACGGATTGAGTTGCGGGTTGTACCCCTCCAAAAAGTTTTCTTAACAGTCTGTCCCCCAGTGTCTACCGAAAATGTAAATATAAAGCCATCAAAAACCAAATTTTGAAAATAAATAGTCATCCTTACAGTCGTATCTACAGAAGACTACTTCTCTCCAAACAACTCATTTGTAAAAAATACTCAGCACTGTTACAGACAGAAGCTGTCCTGATTTCCACTACAGGTGAAGCAACAGGTTTCACTGAACAAAGGTTTTTTTTAGGCAACACAAACCATACATTGCCTCTGACAGTTAAGATAGTAAATACAGAAGTCGCATCTAACCCGTGATACCGTTTACTCATGTAAGCAGGACAGTGATGGCAGATGTTTCCGTGCAGGTAGCACAGGTACTAACTGCACCACTTGCTACCTCAGCTTCGTAATTCTAAAACATCTCATCCAGGGACCTGGCTGCACTTTTCAGCATCAGCTACGTTCAGAGGAACACAAAGCACGCAACTGGTAGCTTTGCAGGCAAAGACCAAGAGCTGTGGGTGGCACTAAATCATTTATCAAGCAGTCTCGGATTTTCTGCAAGAAAGCTGCTCTCGCTGCGCAGATGTTACTTTCTATCCATTGCCTAGGGCGGTTGCAGCTGACAAAAACATTCTTCAAAGGATACAATTGTAGAGCCTGATGCTCTCTCCATGAAAAAAGTGTTACTGTAATAACAGCACTGTGGATTTCAGTCTGTCACTAGCATTTTTAGAATATGGACTGACAGCACCACATGCATAGCATAATATTCAACTATACATGCTGTAGAGAGACTTATGGTTATGCATTGACTAGATATTTGGAATTCCACATAACATGTACAGACGTTATTGCCACCTGTGATCCTGTGTTACTTACCATATCCATCGTGTCTAAATGATGATGGGTGCTCTCCCAAAATAGCTTGCCTCTGGCGGCCCTTCCCTCTGTCTAATATGTGGGAAGGGAAAGAAAATATTTTAATATGGACAAGTATGCACTTGATTTCTCAAGTTCAGACACAATGCTTCTATTTAAGAGGCAAAAAATGTAATCTCAGTCCTTGTTAACTTTATAAACAGTTTCCCATTTGTTATATGTTTAAAAATCACAAGCTGTAGTCTGGGACACCAAAATTAAAAGATTCATCTGTATAATAAATGCCACTTAAGTTGATTGGGGGAGGGATGGGATAGTGGCCAATGAAGAGATGCAGACATTTAAAGTCTATGGAAACACCCAATAGCTCTCCTAAAAAGACAACACACATTATTATAGGTAACACCATACAGCAGGATTTACCTATGTGTCTCTTAAAACAAATTTGAAAGGCAGTACTTTTGAAAGACAGTACCTGAATCATAATATTAGCTTCAACAGCAACACATTTTCAAAGTGGGCTTCTTTCAAGAAGTTTCAGCATAAGCCAACAACAACCTGTATTACATGGTTTCATAATCAGTAAACAGAGAGCATTACATACGTGTACATATATATTTACAGAACACCTACTGATTTAAGGGCGTGCTGAAAGGATTGTACATTATTGCATTATCAGCAGCATAAAACAGGTTAGTTGAAGAAAAAACATCACTGAATAATGCACTCAACCAATGGTCAATCCTTTAAGAAAACCCAGTTCTCTATGATATAAAGTTAAGCAAGGGGTCTACATTACTGGAGAAAAGCAGTGCATCATAGTCGAAGCAGTGTTTTCTAATTAAAACATACTGCATGGCAAAGAAAATCTGAACTTTTTGTGGTAAGCAACAAATCATTTTCATATATATGTAATTAAAAAAAAAAACTGTTCTTGAAAAGCCACATTGAAAATGTGGGGCAAGTTACTCAATTTGCAACAGTTCCTCAGAAAAATAAATATGACTGCTGAAAATGGCATCTCCAGCCCAGTGCAGCTGGAGACACTTCCTCCAAAAACAGGAACTATTCACACTAAAGAACACACAGTGGGAGATGAAAACCCATGTGCCCTTTCTCCTAAGGATTTGGAGGACAGGTTTTAAGTAAGTCGGACAATTACTTTGGCAATAGAGATTCGAAAGAGGTGAGTGCTGACTGCTTTCAAACATCCAGAAAGAAAAGCACTTTTATCTGTGATTGATTCTCCAATTAAATAAAGCTCTGTTTTCCGCTTCCCTCTTCGGGTGAGAGCCCTGAATCTCTTAGCTTGGGAAGTGGATGGGCGCTCTTCCTGGTTGATTTGAGCATCTACACTGTATGCAATAACCTTTCAGAAAAATCAGCTTTGTAATTCTAGTCCATGGAGCTAATGCCATGCAAGTGTGTACAGGAAAAGCCTGCAACCTTGGAATAAAAAGCGCTGGGAGGGAGGGCTCTGCTTAGCAAATATTTCCTCCTGGTGGCAGCGCAGTCCACTGCCCTCTCCTTTCCCCACACTTGTTTCTTCTTTGAAATAGGACTCTTGGTTGTGCCAGTACAAATATTTGCACAAGCATGCAATGAAGCAGACCTAAAGCTTGATTTATGCTAAAAATAACCTTGAAAGGCAAGTTTTATAACAACCTAGCTTTTTTTTTTTTTTTTTTTTAATAAATTGAATTCTTCAGCCTCAGACACAGCACTATGACAAACCCAGGGGAAATACAGAAGCTGAGTAAGCTGGTAACTACCACCAAAAGAAAGGAATTTTGGATTCTTTAAGCTTTTATTGATAGAGGAGGAGTACTAGCATGCCTGTCCTCAGAATAAAACTCCTCTGGGCCAAGATCTTGTTTGCCCAAGTCAGACCGCTGCCAGTCGCACAAAATTCAGAGGCCCAGTAACAGTTCTGCAAGAATAAGCTGAAGTGAACAAACTAAAACACTCCTAGAAAAGTTCTGGATTAATTCTTGGATGGAACTGCTCTAAATACCTGCTTTCTCAGCTATATTTTGTAGTTCATTCAACTGTTCATATGATTTCTTTTTTTTTTAAAGACCAACGGATGCAGGCCACAATTAAAAGAAAAATCATGGTGTATAATACTTCATCCCTTTCAATATAAATCTCATGTCTTTCTTCTTATAGTGAAGTCATGTACAGGGAAGAGAGAAAGAGAGGGGCTCTCAAAGTAACAAAACAAAACAAAAAAAGGAAAATAGTGTCAGTTCTTGAGAAAAAGCAAACTGCACCTGTGTTAAGCTTTTCATTTTCCACTGTTGTTTGTTTTGCTCTAGGAACATCTAGTTCATACAGTCATATCTATCTGCAGACCAGTTATTTAATGAAATCAGATGCACGATGTTATAATTCAATCTCAAAACACTGCAACACTCAAAAGTCACAAAAGTCAAATTATTTTTTCAGACTTTTTCTTGCCTTTGAGTTTCTTCAGAGTCTCTTTTTCATTCTGGAATTCGAGGGAAAAATTGAATCCACATTCTCTAAACTGCAACCAATACTGTAGCTCCCTTGTTAACCTTTTACAAGAACTTTTGTTTTGAAATTTCAAAACCTGCAATTTTAGTTGTACAACAGTTTCACAAGACCAGTGTCTCTATGGAATTACTCTGAAAGTGCACGTCACAGGAAACAGCCAGAGTCTTGGCTCTTATATAGCCTTTGATAGATATTTTATCTTAGACATTTTGTCTTCACTTGTCTAACTTTACATTGCAAACATGGTTGTACATAAGTGGAACACTGCACTCAGTAGAACCATTTTCTTTTTCTCTTTCTTTTTGTTTTTTTTTTTTTTGTTTTTTTAAGATGAGCACAAGTGTCAGGCGACACAACAGCTTGTCTTTACATGCATAGGCATAATTTCCACTAACATAAGTTAAGCTCTGGGTAATTTTACAGCTGAGTACTTAAGAGACAACATGCCTAGACCAGGTATGTGTCTCCCTGTTTCAAATACTTAAATATAGGGGACCTATTTGATATTGTGTTGCTCAGTCCCAACTACCTACAGTTAAAGATCAAGGTTACCTATTACTAGACAATATTTACACTGTTAAGAATGAATTCAACTCTCACATACAGCAAACAATAAAACATTTACAACAATGTCGATAATATCAACCAGAGAGGTTCTTAATTTTGGAGAGTCTCAATTTTTCAGTTATAATTTTATGGGAAATAAGACCAGCATACAAACAAATTTGAACAGATCGGGTACAGTCTATCATATTATTCATCCCATACAAATCTGAAGTACTGAAAGTGTCCTCCTTTAAAAACTTGTGGTGGTGGTGGTGCATGCAGTATGCAGACAAGGTGAATTGCAAGTCTGAGGTCTTTCAGAGGGCATTTTTTATTTGTTTTGTTTTTGTTTTTTTTTTTTTTTTAGTTTTTTTTTTGCTGATGCCGATGTGGTGCATGATGAAGTGTAGAGTCAGCCTGCTGAAGTCCTCTATCCTTCTTAATGCCTTGTCCAGCATAGGGGAAAAATTAAAAAAAATAGTAACAAAAATAAGAGAGTCCTTTCCAAGGAGAAGCAGTGTGCGAGTTTGTAGTTTGCAAGGAATAGTCTGCATCAGGTTTCCTCTCCTCCAAAGAGAGAGAGCTGCTTGAAGAAATGCGAGTCCTTGAGAACCGCGGAGGTGCTTGCAGGTGTGGGCTCCTGGGGGAGCTCGGGGCTCAGCACACGGCAGTAGGGGGCACTAGGGCTCAGGGTTAACGCGCCCGGCGGCGGCGCGGCGCTGGAAATGCCTACACGGCCTGACCGCGCGCGAAGCTCTGCTCTTAGCACGGGCAAACGGCTACGGGGAGAACGCACACACACCTACCTCGGCGGCCCAGGTACGGCTTGGTGTAGTCCCAGCTGTCGTTGTCGTTCCTGATGACGTTAAGTCGAGTTGGCTGTTTAAATAAAGGGAAAAACAGGTAAGTCGGGACTACGTGCATGCCGTGAGTAAAATTAAGAGAGAAGGTGCAAGCATTACCCTTGCATATTCGATTTTGAGCGTGCAGCATCCTGCATAGATATCTGCTCCATTGAGTGCAGCCTTCGCCTTCTGGGCACAAAACACTGATTCAAACATACACATCGTGTTAAGGACAATTTTTTTCCTCCAGATTTCTCCGTCATCCCCCTTTTGCCCTAAAATGGTTTTATTTTTGTAGCTTGCAGGTATTTTGCCAAGATCACACCTTATAGCCATTCTGAACAGACTCATTTAAAATTAGGTAGGCACAGGAATGCTTCCAAGAGCTCTCAGGTTTAACTTACGTTCAGCATCTGTTTCTGAGATGTAAGTGGCACAAAATGACACCATTCATATATTAATAGGTTCTTTAGAGTGGATTACATAGATCAACTCTTTGTTTATGCTCCAAGCTTATGAGTTTTTGAAAGACAAACACTCCAGGTATGTACAAAAAATCTTGTATCAAAAACACAACAAGCATTTTGTTTTCAATGCACTGCTCAAAGCAGATGCATGGATCAAAAGCCCAACATGTAGGTTATTTCATATCCCCTATAGACTACCAGAGCAATTCAATTAGGAATATAAAAATGTGCTTAATTAATTAAGTTCTCAGAACCTCTAAGGTTAGGAGCTGGCTAGAACTGCGGGAGCAAGTTCTGCAGAAGTGATGAGTGTGGCAACTAGCAGCGACACTAATAACCTGGGGAACTTTATCGGGTAAGGTGTCCTGAAGCTCACCTAAGGCTCTTTTTCTCCCCTCAAACTGCACACCTCTATTGCTGCTTTACTTTGTTCACATTTGAGAGGTTTCTTTCAATCACTGTTTATTTTTTTAATAGTTTCTTTTTAGCAAGAGGCACATTGCAGATTTCCATCCAAAGCAGAGGTAGATTTTAAGAGCATCCATCAACAGGAAGCTCCCCCACAACTTCCCTACGCTTTCACAACAAGCCAGAGAACAGTCCTCCATCTGTACAAAAAGTCATCTGAAGCAAAGAGCGCTGGCCACAAATTTGCAACACCATCATAATAAGTCCAACCGCTGTCTGCTGGGACCTACAGCTTATGGCTTTTGCACAAACAAGAATCATTAGTTTGCTTTTGTGGAAGTTGGGGCAATTCTTTGTGCCTGCCCCCCTCCCTAAAAAAAAAACAAACAAAAACAAACCAGTAAAGCCAATGGTTACATGGTTAAGTATGTTACAAAAATGCACCCATACAGCTTGCCACACTGGCAGTAGCTGAAATCAAAAAAGAGTGTGTGAAAGTTCAATACAAATTTTCATAAAATACCGTCTACAAATAAGGAGGGTGATCAGAAAGCTCTGTTGGAGTTTTATAAGCTAAGGCTCAATGATATGAGACTTTGGACCTTGCAAACCGCAGTAATACATTAACAGCTCTCAATATGCGCCCCGCATACGACACACTGCTACAAATAGAATAAACAGTACGATAACAGAACAGCAAATTTCCTCAGGACGTGATAAACAGGTCAAGGAGGCCTAAGCTGGTCACATGTTTCATTAAGTCAGAATAGAAAAACAAGCACTATAGCTATTTTAGAGTTTGAAGAAGTCAGACCGCACTTTTGCGTGCCCTCACCCAATCAACATAGGCAGAAATCACAAAACTTCTCTGTACACTGTGTTAAATTCATGAAATATTTCATGCTTGCAGCTATTAGCCTTAGGATCACCTATAAACATGGTGACCAAGAACACTTGCCAGAAAAACACCATGTAATTGAGATCTCTTTTTGATACATAAGACATTGTAATTTCTATAATGTATTTAAAGTAAAATAGCGCTTAGATGCATCTTTTTTACAGAAAAAATAATGGTGTCAACATTCTCAGGTTAAATCTCATCTGCAAAGGAGATCCTTCAGGAGAAAAAAAAATCCAAAAGGATATTCAACCATAGCTTGTATTCCATTCCTCTTGAATATAACAATGCGCTGAACTTTTCCAACAGGGTTGCACACAGTATACAAGACATCCTAAGAAAGAGGACAGAAATATTTAAGTAGGAAATACTTTAATACTTAAGATAGGAAATTTCAAGCATATTAGGTTCATAGAGCATTTCTTTCGCTGGCACTAAGGCCAAAGAAAAAGCTTGTTTCATTTACCATTTTCTCTCTACAATTAAACATTTATGATTATGATTGTTATGATTTGATTTATTGTATCACAAACAGTCAAATACCTGACAAGAAAAACTTTGCATGTTAAGCACTCAAATGTTAAGGACAAATGTCTTCAACGTTAATAGTGTTAAAAAACAGGAATTACATCCATGTTTCAAGCTGCTGTTCCTTTTTAAGCATGTACTTAGCCCCATAAATTTTCACCAAAGAGTCAATCCAAAGTGTTGCCAAAGCAGAACACCAAGGTGAAATTGTGATTATGGTATGCTTCCTTTTGTAAAGCTGACGGGTGTTTTTTTTTCTATTTTTTTTTTAATTGTTCTTTTGCAGAAAAGTAGCCTAGTGCAGACCAAGGCGTACACTTAGCTATCAAAGGCAGAATTACAGTTGTATTCGCTGAAACCAAAAGACACTGCAAGTGATTGAAGGGTTCCTTTACTTAAGGCAGAGAAAACCGCTGACAATAAACACCAGATTCATGCAAATCTGTTGGTGAAGCTTTGCTTCCACCAGCTCTTTTCTAGACTACCATGGAAATCATAAAATTCAGGACTATTTTCAGTGCTGCAAGGAAAACCAAATACCCCCTTACCCACAAAAATAGTTATCTATGAGAGATATCTGTTTTATTCACAGGCAGTAGCAAAAACACTTGGCCTCTATCTCTGCTTGGGAGAGAAGTGTCCCAAAGATTGCCCAGCTCCAGAACACACTAATTTTAAAAATCAACCAAGTGCTCAAAAGGTAGACATGCATATTGTAAAGATGTAGTGCTGGCTTTACCTACGCTGCAGAATATCTAAGAAAAGGCCAAAAGCAAATTAAGTTTCTGGAGTGGGCAGTTCTGTTGGTAAAGCACTTCCACCACGTTCCTTGTGCTGGTAAGGAAGGGGTTAGAGGGCAAGAACTAACAGGCAGCACCAAAGGTTTGCCTGAAAAGACAGCAAAGACTGACCTATTGGCCAAGCATAAGATTTATTTCCCTTGTTCCATTTGCACAAACATTCCTACTTTCTATGGGTGCATTTACTTTTCCCAGTTGCTATGGGTAGAGTGAGATCCTGAGCCTTGACTCATTTATACTGTCTTTGAAGAGCTCTGGTGCTTGCAAGCAGTTTCCAAAATCCATCTGCATTTATTGCTCACTGATACGTTCCAAACAGCTGGGAGCATCAGGGAGGAAGTGAAAAAGGTGGTTTTTTTTTTTTTATTCCTCTGGTTAAAAAAAGCTACTCTACAACAGTAAGCCTCAGCGTTCCTGAATGTACCCTGGCCTGTAAGATGATTTGGATATTAGAATTTTCCGCAGGCATCCTGGTAGAGCTCAGCTGCTTTCACAAACAAAAAAGATATATATATATATATATAAATACCCACAAAACCCATGCTGCTAAACGAAACCCACTTTTCAAAATTTAAATTACAGTCACATGCAGGGAGTATTTTAAATTAGTTAATGGACTTGTTTACACAGTTCAAAGCAAGTATATTTTTAAACACTGATAAAAAAGCAACTCACATACTAGCCCTGCTTTTCAAAAGCTAATCGAGAAATAAAAGTCACTACCCACTGACGATTTAACAAGAGAAAAAGTATCTGCTCACAAAGCAGTAAAGCAAGAAGCATGATACAGAATGGATTGCTTGTCAAATTAAGTAATATCAGGAATCCTGAGCTGCCATCAATTTGCTAACGCAGTACGGACACACGGAGCTTAACACTTGCATTGAGTTATGTGGTTCCACACAAACCAAACACTTGGATTTATCTAAACTGCCTAATAACCACTTCTTTCTCTCAGCTATGCTTGTACTACAGTACAACAATTTTAAAGCTAATAAATTTACTTTTTCTCCTGAAATACTCCTGTGCAATTCAATGGTGTATCATGTAAACCTTTACAAAAAATATAAGCAGGCATTCCAATGAATTAGAAAATACACATTCTTAAATACCAACAAAAGAATATCTGCAGTTAAAAAAAAACGTCTGTGCCATGAACAAATGGCAATAAATTAGGAAGCAATAGTATATATGGCATGACTAAAAATAGTGAAAGTTAAGAAGTATCAGCCCAGAATAAGAGAGGAAGGATCCAGCAAACTGGATTTGATCATCACCACAAATCAAGGTTTCAACACTGCACAAAGGAAATACTTAAGAATGAAGGAAAAATAATAAAGTAACCCTTCTTACTGGAAAATTGCCATTTGCTATAAGTTGAACTTATTCCTCAGGGCCTGAAAGCTAAATGACCTTCCTATTACAGCAACACATTTGGAAATACTGCGGAAGTATGTAGCAACTTAAAACATTTCAAAATGCTGACCTCTGAAGTCTTCAAATGTATTTCCAAATACCTGTGAACAACAGCAGCAACAGGACAAACTCGTCTTGAAAAAAACTTTTTTTTTCCCAGAACTTGCATGATACAAGAAAGGATGGTTTTAAGTTTTGGTAGGAAACCATAATTTTTGACTCAGACAAGCAGCAAACAGTTTTAACAAACAGTACAAAATAGAAGTAACATGGAAAGAGATTGTCCCGTCCTTGTTTAATATTAGGAGAAACATACCACTGTAATTGGATAGAGAGGATTCTGAATGGACAACAGGAGAACTTTATTTCCACCAGATGGGTCATCAGTGTTCCCTGGCCGAGTAATCCTTTTACTTGTCGAATAGTTGAAAAAGGCTTGCTGTCCAGCGATATATACAGGCTCATCTGCTGCAAATGTTACACATTTCTTGGCACTTTCTACATTTTCAAACTCCACCAGAGCCTGTCGCTTAAATGGCATCATCATGACATAGCTGGTAAGAGAAATATTAAATTGTCTTTAACGCTTTCTCAGAACAACTCCAAAAACCCATAACTGTTAGACATGAGCATTATTTTTCTAAACAATTCCAAACGAAGACATGGAGGAAAGCTAGGTCTCCCCACACTCACTTTTCATATCTAGTTATATAGCTCTAGAATATTTGTATAAAATGATTAAGGAATTGTATCAGTAAGAAAAATAAGCAACGAGCAGTTGTTTTTCTGAAAAAGTTTAATATATAAGAACATTCCAACAATGCAACTACCTAATCACCTACTAACTTTTCATAGCTTCAATTTCAATATAGAAAATGAAATTTGCCAAAGACATTTATGAGGTAAAGGATCAAAATTCAAATTATTAAAAAAATATATCCAAGTTGGCATTTTACACTAAATATTCTTGTTGCTAAGATGTTTTTAAATACTTTTTCTGGCATTAAGAAAAGTAAATAAACAGAAATATTCTGTTTACCCAAAACAAGATATATACAAATTCAAGATGCTTTTTCTAAAGATGTAAGTTTTAGAAAAGTAAACCTCTCAGGCTAAAATATAACTACTTGTATTTCCGTAAAGGCCTGTGCTTATTGTTAAGGTCCTGGTACAAGTATATATGCAGTTATTTGAATCTTAAGGCAGTCGAAATCTATTTGCAGAAATATTTTTACCATGAGAATTTCACCTCATGGCTCTGAGAAGGATGGCTATACAGTTTCCCACATACCGCATAACTCTAGCACAGTCTACATTCTAGAACTATTTACAAAAACCCTGTATCTTCAATTAAGCTTTTAACTGGGAAGAACTGCATGCTTCCAAAATGAAGTCCTCAAAGCTCAGGATAACTAATTCCACCAATTCATGTTTATCACTTTAATTACAGATGAGGAATTTTCAGGCCATACAATCGCATGAAGTGTTTAAGCACTCTGATTTGACCACTGAATAGGGTCTCTTTGGAAAATCATCTCATTCTACAGGTCTTAGCACAAGCACTGCTCTTGTGAAAAAACGGGACAGCAGCATCTGCTCTGGCACATTCCTATCCTTTGTGTACTCACTTATATAGAGACAAACACGTTAGTACTGTTTTGCAGTTCAATTTACTTAGAGCTGATCCAAAATTTCAAGAATAGCTGTGTCACTGAAGTGTAAATGCTAGATTTTAAGGCACAAAGTTTAATTCTGCATGTTCAAACTCAACCTACATAGAAAAAAAAGAGCAGAGCATCTTTACACACTTAGAAGATCAGCAACTATTTCAGTTAGAAGATCAGGAATCGGTTCACATACCATATGGTTCCAAACTTTTCCAGAGCTTCTACAAGATCCGCTTCCACAACTGATTCACAGAGTCCTCGGACATGAACAACTGGTGAAACAGAGACTTTGTGATGACTTCCCCCTGCATCCTAGCAGCAGCAAAAATGAAATTTAGAAATCAATATAGAAGAAGGAACACAGCTATCATTAAATACAGTATTTGACAGACAGTAAATTGGATCCAGAAGTCGTTGGCCGGACAAACGATCCAAATAAACTGGATAAAATGTAGCTTTTCTTTTCAAACAGACTGCAAACTTTAGTTACTCAAATCTACTTGCAATTAAATCTACAAAGAATTTCATTTATGTGTTTGCTCAAGTAAGACTATTCCAATGCCTGATAAATGTTAACCAATTCAGCCACAGTAAACTAGAACTCACAATTCTCACTATGAATGTTTTCAGAACTAGCGCTGTGAGAACTTCAGATAGACTTTGTTTTGTATAAAAAAGGAGGCTTTTTTCAGAAGAAAAAGCCTGAATAGATCAGGATTTAGTCAATTCATCTTTTCATGCAAAACCTGAAGCAGGGCTGAAATGTGCCTGAAGCATTCTAAGACAAGGGGGAAAAGAACACTGAAAATGTAAGCCAACAACAAAGAAAAACAAGGAGCAACTAGGCATAATAAAGGCCACACTAAATACACTGCAATTAACAGAGCTCAAATTTAATGTAGACAAGTGTAGCATAAAGTTTACATATTCAAATTAGCAACTATGTCAATGCGTTTGATCTAAAGGTTTGAGTCTTGTTGATTTTTCACTAATTTTTTTGGGGGGTAGCTGTAGACAAATTCGTCATAAAAAGTTAATAATTTAAGCGGCAGACACTTAGGGAATTGCAGAAAGAAGAAAAATGAACAGATTTTTATTTTCAACTTCTCTGTTCTTTACTTGGGAACACACTTTTCAAAGCTGAAAGCAGCACTCATGGAAACCTTCAGAACACAATAGCAGCAGTCACTCTTGCCTGCAAGGTCTTGTACTCTGCGTTATTAAGATATCAGGCACCTCCACTTTATTTACAGATTACTTAACAATCAGAAGTTTGAAATCAAATATTTATTCCTCTGCATACTTGTTCCTATATTAAGGTTCTGGTTTGTATTCGGAATACACATTTCCTTTTTCTTCTTTTTTTCCTTTAATACATTCAAGAAACCTCCCCTATAAGACACAGTTATCTCTATCAATGGCAAAAAAGCAAGACTTTTCCCCAATGAAACAAAGACTGAATACAAAAAGCTGCCTTCCCTAATTCTCAACCTCTGATCTGCTAAATATATGAAAAGTTAAGCTTTGCAGAGAATGGATCACAAGGAAATATTATTTCTCTCTTCCCAGTTCAACCTTTTCATTCTATCTCCAGTTTGTGCCCCGTTGTTAGATATTCCTCTTTGCATTTGTTTTTAGGACTTCTGAGAATAAGAGCTGTTGTGATTTTCAGAAGAGACTCCCATGCCTTTAATTTGATTGCTCAAGAGATGAAGCTTTCCAATACTAGCACAAACTTGCTCTCTTAAAAACAAAACACTTCATACATGCCTCTTTGAATCCATAACACAAGGTAAGTGCACATATACCAGCATCTATACTACTACAGAGCAGAAACATTCTCAGAACCACCACCCAATACAGATTGCTGTCTTCTGTAGTTACAGACAACATTTGACAGAGCAGTCAAATCTTTCCAAAACCAAATAGCTTCCTCCCTAATACCAGGTGAAAGTAAAGTATACTTTAGTTCTAGCAGATTTAGCAAGAATCAAAAGTCATAGTAACACTGCTGATGTTTTAGGAACTTACATAGGAATTTGAGAAGCATGGAGTGAAGTATGACGAGGAAAAAAATTCTTACATGCCATTTCTGCATTGCTAAATCATATAATTTCAGAAACTACTGTGCCTTACTCAAAATTGCCCCTAATCAGAAACAGCAGAGCAGAAAAAAACCAAGTACAAGCCGATCCTTGGCCAAGGAGCATATTGGTGAGACACAAACACACTTCACACACATATATTTTTAGCACCAAAAAATACCCCAAACTCTAAGGGCACATGTATGTATTTTAGTCAAACAAGCTTTTCAGCTACCAAACAGCAGCAGCAACCAAACCTAGAAGCATCCTGTATTTCCTCTAAAAGGAGGAGTAGTAAAACCACCACACCACATGAAAAAGCAAGTGTATCTGTCAATGCAGAGCATATTCCCAGCTGAGGTCAGGCTGAACAGCCCATCCAAACACTTTCTTTCCACAGATGAAAGTGCAGGATTTTCACCAAGATCTCACAGTCCTTATGTCTTGAAAACTACAGCAGGCACCGAGATAAAGGATAAATTTAAACACTTATCTATCATAAAGCAGATTAAGTCAACCTCCAAGCAGTTTAAAAGTTCACCTACAGATTAAAGACCAACAATATTTCCATTCGCAAAGGGGTTTCTCACTAATTCCATCTCCCATGGTGGCGCAGAAATCCCACTTAAAACTCCAGCACGACACTTGTCCTCCAAAGGCAGCAGGACAGACTAGCTAATGTTACCATCTGTGCTCATCAGTAAGAATGGTTTAAGGGCCTTTGGTAACGAGTTCTTGAAGAATCATCCGCTGGGCAGTAAATGCAGTAAAACAGGTAACGGAAACAGATTTCTGCCTACGCACGCAAGACCAGTAACAGAAGGACAGGAAAAGTTGCCCTCAAAAAAGAGGTTAGCAATATAAAAATACATAACATAATGACATCAAGCTTCTTCAGAGAATTGAAGCGTGGAGGGGAACACCAATGTAACCAAGCGTGTGAAGCACAGCAGTTATTTCATATATATAAAACTAAAATAGAAGCAGCTTCAAAGAACAGCTGAAGAATTATAGCTTTCATTCTTTGCTGACCTACATATTTCTAGGTAACACTTTAAATATTGCACCAGTTTCTTCCTAACAAATTTGCTATTCTGAAGAGAAATAAAAAAAGCCATAAACAGTTCTAGGATTATGTCTCTTTTGCACACCAACTTAAAACCGGAGTTTTTGCCACTATTTTTTTCTACACACAAATCTGTTCTTCATATTCTCTTCAGGTGCCTTCTATCTACCATCTTCACTCTAGTTCTATTAGCTTTTTTGGACCCTCTGCTCCTTTACTCTTTGCTTTACTTACATCCTTCATCTCTCTTTCCCCCTCGCTGCAAATGGATTGCACTCTTCTTTCATACTCTCCCTTCCAGACACCTAAAAATACTGTCATTTTTTTCAGCTTTCAGGTTCTCTTACTCATAACTTTTTTCTTCTTGCTGCATCTTTCAAAATCTGATTTTTTTTTATAAATACATCAGAACTAGGAGAGAAAGCCCCAATATGTTGCTTAATTTGTACTTGGGTGCCTAAATTTTCATTAATGTATAGCTATGGGCTGGACAGCATCCAGCTGCCTTACAGAGAATCAAAGCACTACTTGAATAGTCAAAAGGGCAAACTTACACACCACATTCTCGGTAACCTTAGTTCTGTTCACTGGGGAGAGCCCAATAGAGGAGGAAAGATTGTAGTAAGAAGGTAGGCTGCATTTCCTGCACATTTTTCAACTGCTGGATGTACTTACTACATGATGATGGCATCATTTAAAGCCGTTTGTCCATCATAATTTCCCCTCTGTCAGACACAACTGCCCCAATTTCAGCAATTCGGAAGCCTCTTGCCTGCAGAGGCTTCTTTCCTTGCCACTTAGGTTTTCTGTGGTCCTGAAGCAACAGCAGTAACTTATAGTACACTTTGAAGTAAGTAAAGACAGTGTTTTTAACCAAACAAATCAGAAAAGAAAAGGTTAATGTTCCAAGACAGCAGGAGAATATAAAACAGTTTTATATATCTTGGGATTTAGATTTGCTTTTTGCAGGGGTGGGGAGGAGAAGGGGGTTAGCTTTAGGCACATCCCATACCATGAAAGGCTATCTGCCAATCTTAATTTTTGTTTTAATGGGGGGAGTTGCAGTATTCAATTCTCCTCGTTGGACATCTTGCCAGAATTCTACCACAGCGTCTCATGTCCCCTTCAAAGATTACAGCTGCTACAGAAAGTAATATCTGTTCTGGCCTTTAGCTTTTCTAGCTCCATATCATCTTTACCTCTCCGTTCAGCACAATCCAAATACATATATATTTATTTTTAAACTGCAGCCTCCTGTGACAGATTTGAGATAGTTTGCTTGAAAGGTGAATTACTTTCTATTCACCACAGAGCAAGATCACTCCAGGTTGGAAATTACAGCAGAGTAGCTGAGATGCTGCAAGCAAACATGTTTACTTGCAGGAACTTGCTGTTATGCCCGTCCCTTCAGAGTCCATGTTTCAACTTTCTAACTGCAAGAACAGGAATATTAGCCCTTCCTAACTTCGCAGAAATATTTAATAGAGATGCAAGAGTGTGGGAGACTCCCACTTAATTGTGGTAGAGGGAGTGTAGCCAAAGGCCTCCCAGACACTTTACAATAGAGCTCATACACATCCTTTCCATCTCACTTTCTCCCACTGTTTTGACCCTTTGCTGCAGGCCAATTCCAACTCCTCTACCTAGGCTTCAAAATGACCCAGCACTGCCTCTGTAAGGGTCATTTTTTCCTAAACCATGCTTCTGCCCCAGAGACTATTGCTGCGGGACCTCTTCCTGCTCTTCCCCTGGACACAAGGAGAGTGCACAAAGAGGGTGCACAACCCTTATAGGCAGAGAGGCTACCGGTATCCCAAGACGCATGCCAGCAGAAAAAGATCATGCAGCTGGCAGACTCCTATCATTCTTACTACTCTGGTCATCCATTTTCCCATTTCTTGCTTGTAATTCCCACTCCTTGTAGTTTCTCTTGTTCCATCTCCACTCACACTTTTTTTTTTCTGCTCTCTTTTGGCCAACCCCACATACAGATTTTTCCTCCTGTCTTAACCTGGCTCCATCTTACATGCCTCAGACCTGCATATAAAAAAAAACTCCAGTTTCCTGCTCAAATAATTTTTAGTCAGAAGAGAAACCAAAATTCACATGAATTAACTCCAAAGAATAACTTTGCTATAGCAAGTCACAGATAAAACTACT